AATCACAATACAAGGAATGAAAATTTCCTCTAGGATATGACTGCCTATTATTATTGAATTGTGGTGATCCAACAACTCTACCAGAATACATAGCTAACGATTCTATTCTTTCATGAATAGAACCAGCATTTCCTTTTTGACAGGACATCATTAGAATGTGACCTCTTACCTGTGAATAACTGTCATCCAGCCCCATTAGAAATTGGAGCAATTTCTAATATTGTATTTTTTCAACACAGTTTTTATTACATCCACAACTAGGTGAGGGTAAAATTGAGTCATACTCATCCCATAGACTCTTCAATTTGGTAAAATAAGCAGACACAGTCAAAGTTCCTTATGTAAGAGTGAAGATGCTTCTATGTAATTGGAAAAGTCGAGATCCATTGATTTTGTCAAATCTTTCCTTGAGAACGAGCCATATCTGATTCACGCTTGATGAATAGAGAATACCACTAAGCAAATCTTTACTCAAGTTACAGGTAAGCCAAGTGATCACAATCGCACTGTAACGATCCCAAATTTTCTTCAAAGGTTCATCAAAATCACTTCGCAAAACATAGCCATCAATGAATCCCAACTTATTTCGTCCAAGCAGGGCAATCTCCATTGCGCGACTCCATAATGTGTAATTCTCCATCCATGTCAACTTAATTCCAACAGAGAGAGCTCTAGATACATTAGATGAGCTCAAATACAGTGGGTAATTGTGATCAATTGTCACAAAACCTCCATTGATTCCATTATCACGATCTGTGGAAGCTTTGTCAGTAGATGCTCCCGTCAATCCATCCTCATTCACCATTCTAAAACATTTCCGACAGAGCTTCTCGATCTATCTTCAAAATTCTGATAAATACCTAAAATTGCATTCCTACCTCTGATATCATGTTAAGATCAGTGAAAGTGAAAGAGAAAAAATTATATTGAATGAATGAAATTTGTTACAAGCTATCTATTTATACAAGAAAGGGAAAATACTAAAAATATTGTTACTAACTAACTAACAGTGACTCATAGTTTGTTAATTTATTTTAACTAACTTCTAATTACAAATCAACATCTGTACATTTAACTACTAATCAACTGTACATTTAACTAGTTGCTCAACAAAAGATAAGAACAACTTTTCAAATATAATGTCAAATCTCTATATGTTAGAATCATCACAAAGAGCAGTCTGTTCACAAAACTTAATCGAATTCCATAAAACATACATTATGATGAAACTTACGTTTTTGGCATTTTGCAGTCTCTTGGGCCACAATACATTTTTACTGATCAGAAATAAATTATTAGGGTTAAAAGAAATTATATGAGATATGTATTATTTATCTACTTAATTAATGGATCAACTTCTTCAACGTCACTGGTAAACGACGATCCATTGCAATAATTTACCCATACTCGATTCCAATTATAAAAGTCTACCATAACAAATTGTATTAGTGGGTAATTGAAAGAATGAGAAACATTTATTTGGCAAATAATTTCCCGAGACAAATAAAATTGTTATAAAAACCAAATTTACTAGTATTTGTTTAAAATTCTCCATATTAATTTTCAACAACATTCTCGTGCAATCAATAGTATAATTTTTCATGAATTGAATAAAGATGTAAACTTACTTACTAACATGTAACCTATTATAACTACTCTACATTAGATTTTATGATTTAAGTAGCAATAAATGATCTCCAGCAAAAATTAGTTCATCTGGATTATTTTGGGGAGTGTTATTAAATATTCCACCAAACTTAGTTTGATCCTGCATTAAGTTGGAGGAACATGTTGGTTGAAATGTACGATAGTGGCAATCTTTTAGGTTCTCGCACCACCCTCCGCCCTAAAAAAATAAATTTAGCAAAATAAAATTAAATATACGATAAAAACAAAACACTAATTAATTAAACAAACTTACTTGAAGGTAAATTATCCAACTAGAAGCTCTAGCATCAAATCCCCAATCAAAGTAATATGCCGGCGGAGTTTTCGTCGAGACAAACTATTTAACAAAAACAAACCATCAAATCTAATTCTAATGAAAAAATAAAATGAATATAATTATCTATATTTATGCCAGCGCCTTGTGTTGTAGCGGTATGTACTTTTGTGATATTGATTTTTTGCGCCTCTGCAATAGATATAGTTGGAAAAATCAGAAAAATTATATTTGTTGCCATACTGCAATAGTTCCTAGCCTAAAGAGAAGGCTTGTATATTTATATTCATAATTTAACTATTGATTTATTTTTTAATCTTGAAACAAGAAATAAGTAGCAATAGCACCACCTAGTATATGTATAAATATGCTAGTAAAAATGTTCTTTACTTATATGGTAGCTAGCATATAAACATTTTCTTTTTTATATGCAAAATTGATGTGTGTGACTAATTAATGTGATATTAGACCTAGTATATGGTAGCAAAAATACTCCTTATCTATATGGTAGCTAGCATATAGACTTCTTCTTTTTCATATGCAAAATTGGTGTGTGTAACAACTAATTAATGTGATTTTAGACCTAGTATTTTGTAGCAAAAATGTTTTTTACCTATATGGTAGCTAACATATAAACATGTTCTTTTTTATATGCAAAATTGATATGTGTGACTAATTATTGTGATATTAGACCTAGTATATGGTAGCAAAAATGCTCTTTATCTATATGGTATCTAGCATATAGACTTTTTCTTTTTTCATATGCAAAATTGGTGTTTGTAACGACTAATTAATGTGATATTAAACTTAATATATGATAGCAAAAATGTTCTTTACCTATATGGTAGCTAGCATATAGATATTTTTTTATGTGCAAAATTGATGCATTTCGTGAACTTCGTGCGTCAAACGTGTATTTTGTGCATTACACGTGCATTATATGTGCATTTTGTGCGCACATTTCGTACGTCATCTTTTTTACTTCAGATTGATAACATGTTTTAATTAACAAACAAAAATTAATATTAATGTAATTGTGTTGTGAATTAATTTAGCAACCTTGACTCTCTCCTTCTTCTTCTTTTTCTTCTATATGTTCCTTTTATCAGATTTTGTTTTTACCAAATCCAAACTTGAATCTGTATTCACTTGTGTATTAGCAACCCTACAAGAAATATTTGAAATTATTAAATATAAATGTATGAAAAATTAAACAATATATGATGTATGAATGCTAATTCAGATTATTACAATCTACTGAATATCAAATATGTAAACAAACTCACAAAAAAATCAAAAAATGGACAGAAAATCATGCATTTTGTCTACTTGACTTGCCAGGAATCATAAATTGAATTGATTATGAAAAGTGGAGTTTGAATGTATGGAATAACATTCTGAGAGAAAAGGCACTGCACCATATGTATCATCAATTAGGAAATGTATATATACATAATGTTATAATTAGAGTGAAATATTGTTTATACTACTTACTATAGTATATATAAAGAAAGAAATTGTTTTTGTTATAAAAGCTTAAGCTTTTACCAGACTTGGTTCCATTACAGACGTGCAAGCTAACGACAAATTCTTAGTTAATCCCTAAGAACGGAAGAGGAAAAAGATTCATCATGATATCTACTTCTTAAACATATCAAAATTACTAAAAGAAAAAAAGAAGAAGAAGATGTGACTCACATGTAGGTTAACAATTTTTCGATACAACTCTTGAATATATGAAGTACCATAGATTGTCTTGCTGCATTATTATTAATCATGAACGAGCCAAGTGAATCGAATTTTCTTGAGATCATATATAAGAAGAGTGTGCTGACCTATTGATAAAAAAGACAACATCTGCGACACATTTTACTTTAGCACTCTCTGGAAGGAGACATTTAAACTTATCGCAATTCAACATTGTTGCCAACCCTCCTGCTGATATTCCCGTTAGAATTGCCTAAATATTCAAGATTTAGCCAAGTAGAATTTTTAATTTTTATTTTGAAAAAAAATAGTATGATAGTATTAGGTAGTAATACATATTCTTACATTTTCAGCACTTTTCATTCCTTTGCTCCATAAATCTTCCATAATAGCTTTAAATATTCTTGCTCCTCTAAAGTACAACTTGTTCTCATAACATACATTATTTGGAAAATTTAATCAGAAAAAAATTACGAAATTAATAAATATATACACATGTAGTATATTTCTTACAGGGTGAACTTGTTCAACATCACTAGTGTAAGATGAACCGTCACAATACTTCACCTTCACCCTATTCCAATTATGAAACTCTACCAATTCCAACAATGTTTTGGAGTTAGAAGTGTTGACACCCAATTTTGACCCGCGTCGGTTTAAATTAATTCTCGAGCTTCGTAAGTTTTCCAAACAATTTAAATTAACTAGTTTTATAAATTTTGCGGAAATATAATAATATAATGCATGAACTTTATGTTACTTCGGATACTTTTATCATAACTTTAGATAATATATATATATATATACTTTACATCGTTATGTATATAATTAGTATATTTCATGATTATTCAAAAACCATTTAAAAAAATATTTTAAGTTTAGTAAGTATTCTATTAAGCTAGTTTAGTTTAAAATATGGTTATATTTTTAAAATAACTATTTTACAATTTAAATAAATTACTAAATAAAGAATCTCGTTAATTAATTAATACAATATTTAAGGTTTAGCCAGATTTATCATGTTAACTCTATTTGGCTACTTATTAAATTAACCCAAATCTCCTTCCCATTCCCTTCCCAGCAGCCCACAAATTCCCTAAGCCCAATTCGTAGGCCCAACACCTTTCCCTTTAAGACCAGAATTGGGCCTTTATTTTATTCCCTTTCAGCAGCCCACTTCAACCCTTTTCTTTTTAATTCTCAACCCAAACTCCCAGGCCCAAACTTTTTTCAGCAGCCCACCTCAATTCTCTTAAACAACCATCCAACTAATAATAAATCCAGCCCATTTTTTTCCCTATCCGGCCCACGAATTTGACCCGACCCAACTCCACCTCCTTCTTCCCTTTTCCAGCCGCGATTGCCAGAAAAAAGCAGAACCCAGACGCGCAGAAAATTTCCAGAATTTCTCCTTCCCTTCTCCTTCCTCACGCGACCCCGCGTCTCTTTCACGCGTAAGATTCCCCACCGTTCTTCCTCTTCTCCTTCACCACGCGACACCCCCAGCAGAAAAAACAGAACCGAACCCGATAGCACAACTGTCTCTTGTCGTTCTCTCGCAGCATCTCCCTCGCTTGTACGACTCTGCAGCACAAGACGACGCGAGATTCATCGTTGGTGTCGTGGGATTGAGCCACGTCGTTTGCCAAGGACGAGGGATCGATCTCCACCCTCCACCTCGCCTTTTCCGTTCGAGTCGTCCGTATTTGGATAAGGTTTGGAATTTGAATTCCAAATGGGCCGAATATTTTGGAAATCCCTCGTCTTACCCCCCTAATCAAAACCCTAATTTTCTCTTCTATATAAACCCCATCTTCTTCAGAAAAGGGGTTGGAAATTTTAGGTTGGGAAATTTTGGGGTTAAAAATTTTTCAAGCTTCTCTTTTCGACTGTTCTTCTTCTGTCCAGTTTGAGAGGAGATTGTCAACCTATTTTAGAAAGTTTCGTCAAGAACAAAATAGGTATAGAGATAAACCTAAGGGATCGAAAAGAAGTTGAGAAATACTTTCAGTTCCGTCGTTCGGCTGTGGTATTCCGTTTAGACGTCTTAGCCGTGGTTCGAGTGTGCTTTCGGTGATGAAGTTCATTCCTCGTCTAGCTCGACAATCCTCGTTCGCTGCTTTTGATAAGGTAACCCCTCCGGCTTCGTATGACTTCCTCGTTTTCTTTCGTTTCGAAATGGTTTTTTCTGTTGCATTGGTGATCTATTGCACCTATGTAGGCACCTGCATGTTTTTTTTTAAAATTTTATTTTCACTTTGATTCTTGATATTCAAGTATTAATCTCCGTGTTTCTTCCCCTCATTTAAAAAAGTCATATTTATTTTTCAAAGACAGTACATGTTTTTTTGTTTGCTTTGGTTCTATCTTTTCGCTCGTTTATTTCGATTTGGATATAATTTACTCTTGATTTACATATCAGTAGTTTGTTTGTTTGCATGAACTTAGTTGATATGAGCCTTGTTTTGCTTAAATCTTTTCGTTTGAGTCAGATTTGATTTTCTCTGGAAATTTTGCCCTCTAGTTAAGCTTTAATAGTCTTCTAGTTAAATTCCTTGGGTAAAGGGTATATGACATTGAGTATTATTTGCTTGCTTTTATATGTTTGATTATATGGTCTAGTTAGCTTAGGAATATCATTAAATATTTCTTCTTTTTTCTTTCAATAAGAAGTATTAGCACTCCTTTTGCTTCGATTATGTCTCATGTTTAAATGTGTAAAATTTTAGATGCGATAGAATAATTAGTCATTCTTTGTATTGTTGATATTATGGGCAGATTCTAATTCTTTTTTTTATTTTCTCTTCCTCCTCTATTTTGATGCATGTGACATCGATTCGAGTCCATTTTGGACTCCATTCTCGCATTTCTCCGAGTTAAAAGATCCTTGAGTCAGCCTATTTCAAGTCTAGGAGGTCTTAAGACCAATTTGCAGGTCGAAATATGGCAATAGGTGCTGCTGGAAGTTACAGTTTGCAGGAACTTGGCTGCAATTTTTTGTTTTGAAGCTGTGCACTTGGTGTATATACAGTGTATACACTGATATACAGGTTGAAAATTCACAGGAAGTCCAAACTCAAAATCTAGGCTAATGACAGTAAAAATACACTGCTGAAAAGGAGTTTTCAACTTTCGAAAGTTGAAAAACAGGCTGATATACATCCTGTATACGCAGATATATAGGGACAGTATATCTTAAATAGGTGTAAAAAATATGTTTGGCAAGGTAACGCACAGGGACGCCTATTTTAATTAAAATACGAGATTAAGCAATGAATACGAACATAGGGTGCAACCCGTATACATTAGTATACATTGTTGGACAACAATATACACTTGTTAAATAAGTATAAAAAAAGGATACAGGTACGAATACGCAGAGCAATGTGGAAATACAGGGGAAATAACAGAAATGTGTATTCAATCAAATGCAGGGTCAAAAGGTCCAAAATGGATCGAATATATACTGTATACAGCAGTATACATTTAGTGTATACTATTTCTGATTTCTTACAGGAAATGGGCTAGGGCCCTTTTCAGCAAAGATTTTGACAGGCCCAAAGGCCAATTTGTTTTTGCAGGATTTGGATTGTTGAAAAGGGCCCAACTTTAAATAGTTTAACATAGGACAGGTGGGCCAAAACCCAAGTTCAAATTTTTTCTCTCTTTGTTTGATTGAATTAACTAGTGTTGTGGTAGAATTTTAATAATCTCCTAACGGGTAGCCAATTTTCACTATTTTAAAATTTACCACTTTATTTGCTTATTTTTGTTTTATTTTTATCACCATTTAGTTTTCCCTAAGTTAATTTCCTTTAAATGTTTTCCTTTAGAAATAATAAGGAACAAAAAAAAATGGAATAAGTATATCAAAGCGATTTCTTGCTAAGTTAAAAAATTAAAAAATGTATATTAAGGTCATTTTAGTCAAATCGTCGGTCAATCGCAAGTTAGCGGGCATCCCGAAGGCCTAACACCTTCTCGGGATGTACATTGAACTGCGAACATTTTCAATCGATTTTTAATCTGTTTTTTAATTCTTTTGAAATCTTATTCTTGATTTATTCAAAATCAAGTGGCGTCTCCGTAATTTGAAAAGTCAATTTTTCTTAGATAATAAGATTAATTGATTTTTTGAAACCTAGTCAATTTTTCCCATTTTTAAATCAAATAGTAGTATTTTTTAAAGTAAAACAGAAATGGCGACTCCGCTGGGGAATAATTAAGTTCTAACCACAAGATTTGATTGTTTGACTACTTGTTTTATTTGTTTTATTGGTTGTTTGTGCGGAATTGTTTAATTTTTAATATATTATTATTGCATTCATAGCATGTCATAATTCCGTCAAACAACATTTATTTTATTTCCACTAAAAGGACGATTATGCGGGTTCGCAATCCTTCGTTAATCAAAATTTTCTGCGGGCACCATGACGAGTGTAGTTGACTACTTGATAGTCAACGATCGTTAATTGTCTTAGCCCAAGTAGTCCGCTTGGGTTACCTATTCCACTTTAAATACTATCCACTCTTAGTCAAACTAAGATAGAGCGAAACCCAATCCCAAAAAATAGCACATTGCCTAAGACGATCAAACACCCAAGGAGTGTTGGGCCCATTAGAAAGATCGCCTTGAGTCCAAAGAGCCTACGACTCGATAGGACGATCGTACTTGTATGTTCTGAAGGATGTATTGCGTGTTTAACTGATTGTTGTTCGGGGTTTAAATTTAACTAGTTGTATATTTTTGTAGATGTCGAGTCAGTTCCTTCATTTCAACATGGTCACCCAGGCGCCTGATATTCTTCGCGTATAGTGGGACAACCTCAAAGAGTGTCAAAAGAGAGAAATCTTGATTTACTTGGGTCACCTACCTTCTATAATGAACTTCAAGGTATGACCCACGTTTATCGAGGTCATCACTCAATTTTGGGACGACGAGAAGATGGTCTTTCGATTCGGAGATATCGAAATAACACCCACACTAGAGGAAATCAAGGAATGCCTTGACTCAATTAGGACATGTGGCAAAAGGAAAAAATGTCTGAATCATCACATTCTCCTTCCAGATAGGCCAACTAGTAATGAATTGAAAAACATATTATTCCTTGTGAATGCAAATTGGTTAGAGACCCACGACATTCCACTAATGAGATTTTTCGAAAGATGGAGGCACGACAATTATTTCAAACTATTCCCGAACGAATTCTACGATTACAGTAGCTAGAGGCAAACTCAGGCTATTGCTTTCTCCGCATGCCTTTTAGAAACTATGGTGTTCCTTAAAGATGAAGGAAAAGAAATCGATACACGGGTAGTGATGGTGGTGAATGCCATGTTCAGAGGAATAGGTAGAAAATCAGAAGAAAAGAAGTATTGTTGTTTGGCCCTAGTCATTTTGGCCGACATTTATCAATCCTTAAGTCTGTGTAAAAATTGGTTCCTATTTTTCCAAGGTTGCAACATTCTACTCCAATGGTGGTTGACTGAGCATTTATGTAAAAGGGACGACCCCCAGCCACAGGAGTTGGCCAAACCAAGTCAGAGAAGGCCATAAGAGGAGCCGAATCATCAACCTTTTAACTCCCCTGCGTGGGATTGTTTTTATATATGTATTTGCATTACATCCCTTTCCTAAAATGTATCCCGTTTGATTTTTATTATGTAATGAACGTTATGATATTTAGTGAAATTTATTTCGGGGATACAATCATTTCTTTAAATGGCGCAATACATCCTTCAAATCGCTAGGCTTACCCTTGGCACAACAGGGTCACATGCATGTTTAAGACACTAGGCTTACCCTTGGCACAACAGGGTCACATGCATGTTTAAGACACTATATATATGTGTGTTTAACTTCTTATGTGTTATGTTGCTATGAATGAGGATATCGTAAACCCACTACTACCCAGAAATTTTCAAAGAATACACGGAAGCCACTATTACAAATGTCCGATCGAAATTCCAAGTCTCAAATTTCTCACTCAAAAGGCTATCTCTTATACCACAAATCCTAAATACTGCTCTATCGTCTCAGGAAAGGCAAATCATCGCTATGGACAAGGGCAAGAACATCCAGACGAAGCTCATTGAAGAGAATTTGCAAAGAAAGATCGAACGAGTCACTCGAGAAATTCAAAAGGTTAAGGAGGAAGGATTTAGAGTTGACATGACCATAACAATTTACAAAGCTGCAGTCGTGACATTGGATGAGGATCTGGCATCGGAGATAAAGAGAAAGAAGAGGTTGAGATGGAAACTGAAAGCTTGAGAAAAAGGTTGCACACACTTCATTTGAAGGTGCACGAAGGAAAGGCGAGAGAGGCAAAGATAGATGCGGAGACCGCCGCTCTATTAGCCAAAAGCGCTTTGCTGGACAAGGAATTGACAACCTGAAGAGCAGAAAATACCTCGCCTGTGAACAGGGAGCAGACAACAACGCCCCCACAATGAATTGACTGAGGAGGATGACGAGGAGGAAATCGTCTACATGCCTCCATTTCCGATCGTCTAGGGAGTAACGCAATAACATGAGGAGAAATGACTAAATGCTATCGTCATCCTTTAAGAATTCCGATGTTGTCTTTTAATTTCCTGGTAATCGCAATGAATGAAAATATTTCATCTTAAACTCGAAGTACGTTGGGCCTGAATTCTTCTTCTGAGATACGTAGGCAGCCTTTCCCGGCCCGGCCCCTATCTCTAGAATTTTTTATTCTCCTCCATGTTACGAAGATATGAAGATAAGATCAAAGGGCATCAAAAGCAGCTGCAAGAAGACCATAGCTCAACGTGATTCAGCCTTCCCAAGATAGTATCAAACAAATAAATTCCTATTTGCTTAAAATAGTATTTCCGTCCTCATTCGTGGGTTAAAGATATCCTCAAACAAAGCGACTTGTGTGTTTATCTGCTTTTGGTGTGATATTATGTATTTTGTACTCCAAATATGCGCTAACAAATTTGTCTTTGAGTTGTTTCACTTCTCAGGTACTTTTAACTGCTCTATGTCGATCAACTGGCAGATCATCCTTACTTCACCAGATCAAAAGGTCCTACAGATTCCTTCCCCGGACCAAACTCAGACAGAGGAAATATAACTATTGGAGACAATAACGATGAAGTTAGTCTCACAGATGTTGTGGTGGCTCAGTCCACCGTGGCGGAACAAAATGAACTAATCGCGCAACTGATGCAGCAGATAGCTGATATGAGAGTCGAAATGCAGTGGAGGCAGGACACGCCTCCACCTGGATTTGGCCTTAATTTTGTTGACGCAAGACCTCCGATGTACTTCCCCTCGTCAAACATGGATCCAACTCAGAACCAGCCGTCAACACCTGTGCATAACCCGTCTGGGATAGATTTAACAACCCAAAACCCCCAGTATGCTTCCATATCTTATCAAACTCCCTCACCGCTTCCAAATAACCCTCCTCAAATGCCACCACACCCCCAGAATAATCAAACAGCCCCATCGCCCCAAAATCAAAATCAAAATCAAAATTCAACAGCCTCCAACCCCCAAACACCGCATCCCCACTTAAACCAATACACCAATCCTCAAACCTACCCACAAAACTACCAAACCGCACAAAACGTTCCGAGTCCTTCTATAGCTCCACCCCTCCCAAAAAGAACCACCTTCCAAGTTTCCATTCCTGCCGAGCATGAGGTGCACGGTTCCGAATTGGATCACTACGAGGAGCAGGAGAGAGAGAGTGGAAGGCAAGGGAAGAAGCAAAGATCGACATAAAGAAGGAGATTAAAAGGGCAATGAAAGAGTTGTAATGCATTCCAGACGTTGCAGGATTGAGTTGTGCAGAATTGTGTATCCACCCAGACTTGAACCTTCCCGAAGGGTTCAAAATCCCGAAGTTTGATACCTTCGAAGGGGTAGGCAACCCCATGGCGCATTTGAGAGCGTACTGTGACCAACTTGTGGGAGTTGGCAAAGATGAGGCTTTATTGATGAGGCTTTTCAGCTGGAGTCTGTGCGGGGAGGCCCTGGAATGGTTTACGTCACACGAAACCAGGCAGTGGCCCAGTTGGAGCGCGCTAGCTAAAGACTTCATTGATCGATTCGCGTACAATGTTGAGATAGTCCCTAATCGATATTCTTTAGAGAAAATGAAGCAGAAATCGACGAAAAGCTATCAGAAATTTGCCTGCAGATGGAGAAAAGAAGCAACGAGGGTGAGGCCTCCAATGACTGAAAAAGAGATTGTAAAAGTGTTTATACAGGTGCAAGAGCCCGAATACTATGACAGAATCATTTTGTTAATCAGAGCCAAATTCGCCGAGATAGTCAAAGTTGGTGAGACTATCGAAGATGGTCTGAGGTCGGGAAAGATAGCCCGAGTATCCGCGTCGCTTGAGTCTTCCGGATTGATGAGGAAGAGGAGAGAGGAAGTTGCCGCTGTTTCGTATGGGGGAAGGAAAACTCCCAAAAACTCATCGCATCCTCAAGATCGCTCCAAGCCTCCACCAAAATCTCACCAAGCCTATCGCCCACAATCCAATCATTCCAACAACTACAATGCTGCCCCCACCTATCCAGATGCTCAAATTTTGTCTTACCAAAATCCACCCCCAAAATCTCCAAAAATTTTCCTCTATGTACCTAAATTACCCCCAATCTTATCAAATTCCACCCCCTTATCAAGATATCTCTCCCAACTGTGTCAATGTACAGTCGAGCTATCGAGCACGTTCCCCCACGTATCAAGTCCAAGCTCCAGCATATCAAAGCCCCCTCCCGAATTACCAAGTTCCAGTGCCAAATTCCAGACAAACCCCTACTCTAAAAATGTTGTTACTAACTAACTTACAGTGACTCATAGTTTGTTAATTTATCTAACTAACTTCTAATTACAAATCAACATCTGTACATTTAACTACTAATCAACACCTGTACATTTAACTAGTTGCTCAACAAAAGATAAGAACAACTTTTCAAATAAGTTGTCAAATCTCTATATGTTAGAATCATCACAAAGAGCAGCCTTTTCACAAAACTTAATCGAATTCCATAAAACATACATTATGATGAAACTTACGTTTTTGGAATTTTGCAGTCCCTTGGACCACAATACATTTTTACTGATCAGAAATAAATTATTAGGATTAAAAGAAATTATATGATATATATATATGTTATTTATCTACTTAATTACTGAATCAACTTCTTCAACGTCACTGTTAAACGACGATCCATTGCAATAATTTACCCATACTCGATTCCAATTATAGAAGTCTGCCATAACAAATTGTATTAGCGGGTAATTGAAAGAATGGGAAACATTTATTTGGCAAATAATTTCTCGAGACAAATAAAATTGTTATAAAAACCAAATTTACTAGTATTTGTTTAAAAATCTCCATATTAATTTTCAACAACATTCTCGTGAAATCAATAGTATAATTTTTTATCAATTAAATAAAGATGTAAACTTACTTACTAACATCTAACCTATTATAACTACTCTATATTAGATTTTATGATTTAAGTAGCAATAAATGAACTCCAGCAAAAATTAGTTCATCTGGATTATTTTGGAGATTGTTATTAAATATTCCACCAAACTTAGTTTGATCCTGCACTAAGTTGGACGAACATGTTGGTTGAAATGTACGATAGTGGCAATCTTTTAGGTTCTCGCACCACCCTCCGCCCTAAAAAAACAAATTTAGCGAAATAAAATTAAATATACAATGAAAACAAAACACTAATTAATTAAACAAACTTACTTGAAGGTAAATTATCCAACTAGAAGCTCTAGCATCAAATCCACAATCAAAGTAATATGTCGGCGGACTTCCGTCGAGACAAACTATTTAACAAAAACAAACCATCAAATCTAATTCTACTGAAAAAATAAAATGAATATAATTATATATATTTATGCCAACGCCTTGTGTTGTAGTGTCATGTACTTTTGTGATATTGATTTTTTGCGCCTCTGCAATGGATATAGTTAGAAAAATCAGAAAAATTATATTTGTTGCCATACTGCAATAGTTCCTAGCCTAAAGAGAAGACTTGTATATTTATATTCATAATTTAACTATTGATTTATTTTTTAATCTTGAAACAAGAAATAAGTAGCAATAGCACCACCTTGTATATGTATAAATATGCTACTAAAAATGTTCTTTTACCTATATGGTAGCTAGCATATAAACATTTTCTTTTTTATATGCAAAATTGATGTGTGTGACTAAGTATTGTGATATTAGACCTAGTATATGGTAGCAAAAATGCTCTTTATCTATATGGTAGCTAGCATATAGATTTTTTCTTTTTCATATGCAAAATTGGTGTGTGTAACGACTAATTAATGTGATATTAAACCTAATATATGATAGCAAAAATGTTCTTTACCTATATGGTAGCTAGCATATAGACATTTTTTTATGTGCAAAATTGATGCATTTCATGAACTTTGTGCGTCAAACGTGCATTTCGTGCATTACACGTGCATTATATGTGCATTTTGTGCGCACATTTCGTACGTCATCTTTTTTACTTCAGATTGATAACGTGTTTTTAATTAACAAACAAAAATTAATATTAATGCAATTGTGTTGTGAATACAATTTTGCAACCTTGGCTCTCCTTCTTATATGTTCCTTTTATCAGATTTTGTTTTCACCAAATCCAAACTTGATTCTGTATTCACTTGTGTATTAGTAACCCTACAA